AGAGAGAGAGAGAGAGAGAGAGAGAGAGAGAGAGAGAGAGAGAGAGAGAAAGGGAGAAAGAAAGAGATAACTTTATATGTATATTATACTATTACTATTTTACTAGAAAAATATGATTCAGACTAGAAATAACTATAATATATATTTTAGTTTGATCAAAGTTTTTTTTATTCAGTGCGCTAAAAAATTATCTGTGCGTAGAATTTAGCAGCTACGTTCTAAAGATGTCTGCCAGCAAACTGAGGTGAGTGTAGGGATTATACATTCGTTTGTTTCTCGTCACTGGTACTTTCTGTCTACTACAGTCACTTTTTTGAAAAGTGGGACTGGCTGTAATCTGAATGGACGCTACACGGAGAGACTTTCTTGCTAAATTTGACAAATAGTTCAGATACAAACTCTGTCTCTGTCATTTATATTGATTAAATGCAAAATACATGCGATATCGCAGTGCAGTGTTTGCCAGGCATTTATCTACTTCAGCTGATTTCTCGTATACAGATAATTTTCGCTACGACTGCAGGACCATTCTTTTGTGTGCAAGATGCGAAATTTTGTTTAAGACCGTCGCGTTACACGTGCACGACTTGCAAAAGTTACAGCACATACGATTGGAAGCTTTGTCTTCCGTTTGTCTCGTTCGTTCGCGGCCCCGCCGTGGAAAGTTGCAAATGAAGCGAAAAGCGAAACTCCCCGAAACTCTGTGTCCGAGGTTTCAAAGAAATGCAAATGCAGCTCGCTGGAGTACGATCGCTGAAGCGACGTAGGGAGTAGTCAACGCGGTATTCCGGAACTAAGATCGCGCATAAAATCACTCGGAGATAGACGCCCTGGATCCCGGCGATCTTGCCGGGTTGTATCGCGACCATAAGGTAGTGCTCCATCTCTTTAAGAAGCTCTCCGTTTCGGGATCGATAAGGAACGCAATCGCATTCAACAGCATCTTTCGTCGCGCACGTAGTTTCGCTCGAGAGCGCGCTTATCCGTCGAGAATATATTCGCGTTCTTACGTACGGCTATACGATAATTTCGACGCGTGCACCAGAAGTTATCTAGCGCGTTCGCGGAGCGACCGCGCTTTCCTTATTCTTACGGCACGTAAGACACGCGAAACCGGCTAGAGTGGATTCCGAGGAGATGTAACCGCGTCCGCCGTAACGTCGAGCTTTACTCCCCGATATAACTCGGGATTAATGGCCACCGTTCCTATGGCAGTCCTTCAGGATCATGCCCGTCCGTTAATCCTGAACTCGATAACCTTCTGGCAGGATCTCCGTCTTCGCAGAACCCAAGCGATGTTTCATCATTGAGCACGATCCTTTGTATTCGGCTGGAGATGCAGGTTTTATATGTCTTTTTTTGCGCGCGCATCTTGTGTTTACAGCTCGAAACGACGGAATTATTTCTCAAAATTAAGGGGTAATTAATCCTTCGCAAAACTCACTCTTCAAGAGACCTCTCGATGGTAGCGACTGATTAGAAGATCAAGCTTAGTTAGAGAGTACTGCGATTTTCATATAAATGTGAATTTTCGTGTTTTCTCAGCGAAAGAGGAAATCTCCGGCTCGCTGTTGCGTCGCGTCGGACTCCTCACCCTCCTACCGAGAGCTTTCTGTCTCGGGATAGAGACCTATCGAGAAGGTTTTTCGCGAAAGGAGGAAAAGCGCGCGTCGACCAATCGCGACTCGGCAGTTATCGCGACCAATCGTCGAGTTTCCAGCATTCGGATGTGACTGCGAACAGGTGGAGGCTTCGTATGCGGGGGTGGTTACCGGGGGGAGGTGGAATCCTGTGGCAGGTACCGGCCGGGATTGCGCTCCTGCGCGATTTGCAGAAGTTTCCCGCATTCGTTTCCACGGACCGGAAGTCGGCGTCGTATTTGCGCTTTCCATTGGATTTCCGAGTGTCGTCTGGGGCCAATGGCACGGCGAAATGCCGACTGTCGTCGGGGTTGTGTGGTTTTCCAGAGGGGCAGGTTACGCCCCGCGCCGCGCGTACGTACACGCGAGCGGACGCGTGTAGTGGTGCTGCGCTACGCGAGAGGGTGAGAGAGGGAGAGGGAGAGGATGGGTCGGAGAGGGACGGATAAATCCCGGCGGAAAGAGACGGCGAATTTCGCAGCGGGATCTCTCGCCGCGTGTCTGTCTGTGTGTCCGTTCTCTTTCCTCCGGCAACGACCGTGCGCCTGCGAGGGAAAGAGGGATTTCTCCCTCTCTCTGTACCGGCGCGCGTTCGTACGTACACCCGCGCATATATACGCGGCTTCGAGCTATGTAGCTACGTCGGAGAGAGGGACGAGCAATAGAGAAAGATAGGGTGAGCTAGAGAGGGATGAGAAGTGAGGGGGTCGGAGGAGGGGGAGAGAGAGGGAAAACGCGGAGGAGGTCGAGGGACGCCTTGCTTCGATCCGAGAAAGAGACGCAGACAGAGTCGGAGAGTCCTGGGTTCGATCCCACAAGGAGGTAGACACTCGGCGGCACTTAAACCCTCCGCGTCCTCCTTCCCTCCCTCCCAACCCCTCTTCGCCCTCCCACTCACCCGACTCGTCGTCGACCCCCGTTGGTGCCCCCTCGGCACCCCCTCGACACCCCCTTACCGTCTTTCTACCGCGAACCTCCGACCGACCTCCCTCGCCCTTCTGCGCCACCCTCCGTCTCTCTGTTTCGTCCTCTCTCGCTCGGTTCGCCTTGCACCCGGTGTATCTTGCTCCTCTTTCTCCCTTTCTGCCGCCCTCCGTCGTTATTCTCTCTCTTCTGGCGTCTCTCTACGAGCCTCTCTTCCCTCTCTCGCGGAACCCACCCCAGAAGCAGAAGCGCGAAGCTAAGGCCGCCCGAGGTTCGTCGAGGGTGGTTGGAGGATTTTTTTGTTACTACCGGCAGATGCTGTGCCTCGTGAAACGCGGCGAAGAGGGACGCGACGGCGAGAGGAAAAGAGAGAGCGAGAAAGAGTGAGAGAGAGAGAGAGGGAAGAGAGAGAAAGAGCGACGAGGGTGGCTAGAGGGTGGTCGGAGGTGGCGGCGGGTTGGCAGCGAGAGGGACGAAGCTCCGGTGTGGAAGGTCGGAGGAAGTGGAACGGGGAAAAAGCTCGGCACGAAGCACGATATTTCCCTCGCGGAGAGCGGTCACTTTTTACCTCGCCTCTTTCGGAGAGTGCTCCGACTGGCGTCGAGAAAGAAATTTCGTTTTTCTTGTGCGGAGGTAGCGCCGGTACACGTACACACACGCACACATACACTATGCTTCTCGTGTAGCAGTTTCGTAGCCGCCCAGGAAGAGCGATATATCTCCGACCAGTTACGTTG